AAACAGCCTGGCCCCAAAGCTGGGTTTTGCTACCATACTGTAAAATAAAATCAAATATTTCCAGCAACACTCAGCCTCCAGGTGTGTGGATTGGGCCCTTTTTTATTCCAGTCCCATCATTTCTGCTGAGGGCTCGCTACAGGCACTGCTCTGCCAGTTCCACAAGGTTTCCACCAGTCCTTTCTTACTTTAAATTCCTTCCTCAAGCGAGAGGGGACTCCAGAGGGTCTTTAGACTGCTGTGGCCTATGAGATTCTCCATCTTAGGATTTTTCAGGCAGAACTGCTGCTGTGTGCACCTGAGCAAGTTACTCGACCTCACTGTGCCTTCCTTTCATCTATTAAATGGGGATAAGAGAGGTGATTCTTCCTGATTGCTGTGACTTAAGTAATGCCGGTGCTAAATGCAAGGAAGTGCTGGTAGATGTTACTGAACTTTTCCTTCCTCTAGGGACAGGGTGGGACCTTGATCTGGGTTTCTGTAGTCTAAGGGAGCAGAAAGCAAAGACCCAGAGGCTCCCAGTGTGAGGACCCTTGGGGACTACTGTAAAGTGGTCAACCCCTTCTCACTCTGTTCCTCCTGGCTTGCCCTTCCCTAGCAGGCAGGATGTGGCCGTCTAAGAGGGAGGACTAAGTGGAACAGGAAAGGAGAGCTATTCTGGCTTCTCTATCAACTAGAGGTTGGAGCCCCGGCCTGAAGCCCCCACAGCCTCCCTTCTAATCACCCACCAGCCTGCCCAGGTCCCGCCTTCAGAACCTTATCCAGGGTGGTGGGTGATCCCTGCTGCATTCCCGCAGCGGACTCGTTGCGGGCAGGCGCCAGGTAGGCAAGCTGGATGCCTCCCCCCCACCCCCCACCCCCCCCCCCCGCCCCGCGCTCGGGGCTGGACCTCCGAAGGTAAGCCACTGGCCACCGCTGCTGCTTACGCGGCCACACCTTGGAGCCGACCGCGCTCACTTTTGGCCTCCCGCTGGCCTGCTTGAGGCGAACGGTTGGGTTCCAAATCCTCCCGCGTCCGCGGCCAAGACTGGGCAGGTCCGACGCCCGCCAAGCCGCGAAGTTGAAATGCTCCCAAAGAACGAGCCGAGGCCCGGCCTCAGCCTCCAGCTAGAGGACGCGCTGGGGCTTGCCGCTCTGGCTGGCGACCCAAGAGCGGAGCGCCCCACCCGGCCGGCCCGCCCCTCACCTGCACCACTCCAGCCTCCGGACTCCTTCACCGAAGGCTGAGTCCGTGGGCGGCAGGCACTGGGAGGCCTAAAAGGGAACCTAGAAGCTGTGCGATCTTCTGCAGGTTCTGCGGTGTAAAGTCGGGGCTCCGAGTTGGGTCCTGGCACTGGGTTCCTGGCTAGGGCCCGGGGATCCCGCGGGTTCCCTGCAGCAGGTTAGAGGCTCTTTTTCGAGAAGGGCATTGGGTCCAGTGCCCAGGTCATCACAGAAGTGAGGACTAGGGCAGAGAGACTTGGGGTTCTGGAAGCAGGTGTCTCCATGCGGCTGGAGCCTGCATTTCCGTAAACAAAGAAACAGAGCAGATCATCCCGGAGGGGGTGCAGGCTGTTAAGAGAACCACCGACAATTTCCTTCATAAAAATACGATCTAAGAGCATTTGATTTCCACTTTCACTCCACCCCCACCCCCCCACCCATAACACTAGCACTGTCTCCAAAGACACTCAAATTGCAGCCATATGGGGCTAAAGTAATAGGAAGCAGTTACCTTATTTACTGCAGAGGCTGCGCATGCCAACCTGGGCACTGCATTATTGCACTCCCAGAAGTGGGATTAAAAGCTGCGGAACTTTGAAAGTTTGTATTGTGGTAGGTGCACGTGGGAAAATAAATTATCTAACTTGGAAAAAGCCATTCTGTGGAAGAAAGAAGAGAGGTGAGAACTAAGTCAGTAGGGGAAGGAGAGGGTTCAGTAAGAAAGGTGGGAATCCTCTTTCCAGTGGTTCCTGGGGCAGTGCCACCAGATGACCAGTCTCAAAGGACCAGAGTGAGGGTGCTACCACTCTTATGTTAGCGCCCTCTCCCGGCACCCATAGGTGTCCTCCCCTACCTACCTAGCTTTGGGTCTTGTGGGACTGCAGACCCACTTCTCAGACCCCCACCTCTCTCTTTCTCTCCAAACTGTCAAGGGGTGTGAAGCTGCCCAGTGACCTATTTTCACACCTCCTTCAACCCTGCTGTTTCTGGGCAGCTGGAGGCAGGGTGTGCCAGGCAAGGCTGAAACAACCAGAGTCATTTCTCTGGAGGACAGAGAACTACTGCTACCAACAGGAGTCAGACTCCCCCAAGCCTCAGATTATTCTGTATTGCTGGTTTTCTTTTGAGCAGAATTCCACCTTTGACTTGGGCTTAGCATGAATCCTCGAAGTTTGCAAACTCAGACACCTCCCAAGTGCTAATTTTGTTGACAGCAAGCTATTTGGAAAGAATCATCATCAAAAAGACTGTTGGAAAAATGGGGCCAGGAAGCAGAAACCACCAGTACCCCTCCATAGAAGAGGACCCTAGCCAGCAACACCAGGGGTTTCCTTTTCACAGCAGAGCTTCAGGGGTATTTAGCAAAGAAGGAAAAATAAGAGAGAAGGAGGGGGTCATGTAAGGAAGAAAGGAGCACAGAAAAAGAGGAGAGTTTGTTTCTTTTTCAGTGTGAAACTGAAACCATTCACCAACCTCTGCACGCCTCATCCCAGTGTCCTTATAGGCACCCAAGGCAAGCACAACTGGGAGACTTAACTACAGAAACCCTATCTGAAGGGAAACCATCACTTTTCTCCGGCTCAGGCGAGCTTCCCGAGGGTGTGGGGCAGGCTTCCCCCCTCAGGCTCCAAGGTGGCCCTGTAGCCTGAGAAGAATGATGCAGGGCGCAGGGCTCCGAGTGGCCGGCAGCCGTTGGCAGCCGTCGCCCGGGGCGGGCAGCGATTCCAAGAGGGGCAGGCGGGGCGAGCGGAGAGACCCAGGCCCAGGGCATAGGGTGGGCTTTCCCTGGGCGGGGAAACCAGACACTTATAGGCGGCTGAGGCCAACTTTATTTTTACTGCCCAAACTGTTGGAAAGTATTTAAGCTTAAACAGAAACAGCTGTATCGCTGGCACCGGCCGACGAAACTATTTGTTACCGGGAATGACTTTTTATGATTAAGGACGCAACCGTCGGCGGCCTCTCATAGGCGGCGGGTGCGGGTCGCCAGGGCGATCCGGGCGTCGACGGTCGCCCTGTTCGTTGAGACGGGACAACCCTAGAGATGGGACTGCAGGCTAGCGCCCACCTTGAAAAGTCTGAGAGCAAGGCCAAAAACTGGAACCCTCCTTTCCAAGGGCGAGAGGACGGGGAGGGAGGGCGGGCCCGACGCTGTCTGCCTCGCGGCCCGCGTAGGACCGCCGCGCCCGCGCCGTGCGCCTCGCTGCCGACACGAGGCCAGCTTTCCGCTCTGGGCTTCCTGCCCTTGAAGCCAGACTACTTGGCTCGCTTCTTTTCTCTATCGTTCTTTCCCTTTTCTCTTTACCCTTCCCTTCATCCCACCTCATTCCATCCCTGGCCAAGGGAATCCGCTTCCAGTCAAGAAGATCATCGGTGTTTTAACTAAATCGTGGGTTCCAGAGAGCGGGAATCGCGATCTGGAGCTTAGGTGATCAGAAAAAAGGGTGGGAGGTCGCTGGGTCCCGACTGCGGCTGCAGTTTCCGCTGCTGCCCTCCAACCCCTGCCACTGGTCACCGAGAGCTGTGCATATGCATGCAGCTGAGGCGTTCGCGGCCCGGTCTCGCCTCCTTTCCAGACCCGCCATCTTCAGAGACCCTCTTGCCAAGCCCGCACTGGACCCTGCGACGCCCCTAACGTCGCGACGTAGTCATTTCTGGCCAGGTATCAGTCAACGCACGTCTGGAAGAGTGGTGGACAGGAAGTTCGCGGGCCGGGTGCCCTAGTCTGCAGGAGGCCGGAGGAGTCCCCATCCACGCACCCCCAAATTAGCCAAGCTCCAGACTCTGACCCATGGTCGTCCACGCCCTTAACAAACCCAGGCCAAGTCAGGGGCGGCCGCGGCCTGGAAGGGAAGGACAGCACCCGCTAGGGACAGGGGCAAGTGGCTCCCGGCTCGGGGATGGTCGGGGGAGAGCGGGCGCACGACGTCCCCGTCCCCGCTGTCCCGGGACGTGGGAGGGCTCGAATGGGAGCGCCCAGCCTCCACTCCACCCGGTCTGCGTTGGGCTTCGGAGCCGAGCAAGCATTCGGACAAGCCCGCGGGGTGGGTGAGGGCAGCTCTGGGAGACAGGAGACCGAGGCGCAGGCACAGCGGTTCGTTAGCGGGATGGGGCTGGCGACGGCGGGGGGGGGGGGGGGGGGGCCAGGGGGCCGGGGGGTGGGGGTGGGGGGGGGGGGGGGGCTGACAGTGGGGAGCAGCCGGGGCACTCGCTGGGACCCGGAATTCGGGCGCGGCTCTCAGCGTCCCAGCACCTGTGCATTGTGCATTGTGCAGCTCGGCAGCGGGGGAGGGGACAGCGCGAGTCCCGGGCGGTGGAGGTGGGGCGGGCCGGGGTCTGCCGAGGGGGAGGGGCCTGTCTGACGCCGCCGCGAAGGTCCCAGCGAGAGCTGTGGGGCACGCCGAGCACCGGAGGGACAACTTGGTGGCGGGGGAGGGGGCTCGGGTGAGGACAGAGGGCAGCCAGGCCCCCTCTCCAGCTCCGCAGACTGACAGAGGTAGAGCCCGCCCTCTCGTGGCGTCACTTCCGCCGGCGTCCCCCTCCTCCGCGCTCGGCCTCTGGAGTGGTTTCAGACTCCTCCCCCTGGCGATTGGAACGCGGGTCACGTAGCAACGCGGGGGAGACAGGGAGAGGGGCGTGGCCCTGAGCTCGCCCAATCAGCGCGAGAGGAGCAGACTTCAGCCGTTCGGCTTTAGCAACGTCGTTAGCAACACGTGGGGCGGGAGGAAGCGAGGGGCGGGGTAGGAGGGAGAGGAGCGCAGCGGCGCGGGCGGGGGGCCGCAGGAGGGAGCGAGCGCGGGGAGGGAGGAGAACTGACGTCAGCGGGAGAGTATTATGGTCTGTCGTGCGCTGGCTGCTGCTTTTCTGCTCCTGGAAGCGGCCGAGGGGGGAAGCGGCGAGTCAACATGGAGCTTTCGGCGGTGGGGGAGCGGGTGTTCGCGGCCGAAGCCCTCCTGAAGCGGCGCATACGGAAAGTAGGTGCCCTGGGCCTCAGGCCTCGGCGCGGCCGGGCCCTCCCCTTCGGGCCCTGGTTCCCTCCCCCTGCTGCAGGCAGCTTCCCTTCCCCCAGGTCCCAGCAGCGGCCGCGGCCGTGGCGGCGGCGGCGGCGGCGGCAGCAGCAGCAGCAGCAGCAGCCGTGGCGGCGGCGGCGGCGGCGGCAGCAGCAGCAGCAGCAGCAGCCAGCAGCTCTGAGCCTTAGCGCTCTCCTTAGACTTGCAGCGATGCACAGATTGCATGGGTGGGGGGCGGGGTGGGGAATGAATGCCGGTGCATTCACTTAGTGCAGCGTTTCTTGCAGGGGTGATGCAGCGGGCGCGTGCCTTTGGCTGTAGGGTTTTGAGCGTTCATTTGGTGCATGCATTTTCGTATGTATTTCTTGTGTCCTCGTCATGCATTCCTCCCCATGCACACATACATTTTCCCGTTTGCATCCGCAGGGACGCATGGAATACCTCGTGAAATGGAAGGGCTGGTCACAGAAGTAAGTAGGTTATATGTAATTCTCACACCCAGACTGTTATTCGGGAGGTTTCTTTCTTCCTCTTTTCCCCATTACTTTAAGATACAATGCGAGGCAACAAGAAAAGTTACACACACACACACATGCCCTCTGCTCTCTCTTTGCTCCCGGACTGACGCCCACTTCTTCCTGATTCCTTTTAGGTACAGCACATGGGAGCCAGAAGAAAACATCCTGGATGCTCGTCTGCTTGCAGCCTTTGAGGAAAGGTACAGACCCTTCTAAACGCCCTCTACTCACTTGGAAAGATGCAGGGTTGCCTCTCTTCAGCCTGCACTGGAGCCTCACTTGGTTTCTTTACTCACACACCCCTTCTCCCTCCTTCCTTTCTCTAGGGAACGAGAGATGGAGCTCTATGGGCCCAAAAAACGGGGACCCAAACCCAAAACCTTTCTCCTCAAGGTAGGATGGCAGTATCCAGGGATAGGTGCAGTGATGTGGAGTCTGTGCAAAGGGGGTGGGTCTGAGGGCTTGTGAAGCAAAGGGGTGTCCTCATACACAAAAATTTGTAATGTGGGAGGGAATCCCCTGACAGCTAATTCAGTGGGCAGCACCAAGGGGTGTCCAGGGGAGGGATTTAACCATACAAGAATGCCTTTGTGCTCCCCCCCCCCCAGCCATCCCAATGAATATATAATGAAATATAAGAAGTGTGCTGGCTACAAATGGCTGCTTCCAGACAAATTCTTTCCCATTCCCTGAGACTGCCACCACAAGCCCACTTCCTCCCCACCCATATAGAACTTCCCAGGAACAGAGGGTGAAGCTGGGAGGTGAGGCTGGAGGAACCTGGGTGTGGGGGAGGCCCTTCTTCCCTCTTGACACCACCTTTTCTCTGCAGGCCCAGGCTAAGGCCAAGGCCAAAACTTATGAGTTCAGAAGTGACTCTGCCCGGGGCATCCGGATCCCCTACCCTGGCCGTTCACCCCAGGACTTGGCTTCCACTTCCCGGGCCCGAGAGGGCCTTCGGAACATGGGTCTGTCCCCACCAGGGAGCAGCAGCAGCACCAGCAGCACCTGCCGAGCAGAACCCCCTCGGGACCGGGACCGGGAGAGGGAGAGGGATCGAGAGCGTGAAAGGGAACGAGAACGGGAACGGGGCACCAGCCGAGTTGAAGACAAGCCCAGCTCACCAGGGGACAGCTCCAAAAAGCGAGGCCCCAAGCCCAGAAAGGAGCTCCTGGACCCTTCACAGAGGCCCTTGGGAGAATCCAGCGATGGCCTCGGAGATTACCTCAAGGGCAGGAAGCTGGACGACACTCCTTCTGGGGCAGGAAAGTTCCCAGCAGGACATAGCGTGATCCAGCTGGCCCGGAGGCAGGACTCGGACCTGGTGCAGTGCGGTGTGACCAGTCCTAACTCAGCAGAGGCCACGGGCAAGCTGGCTGTGGACACCTTCCCTGCCAGGGTCATAAAACACAGGGCTGCCTTCCTGGAGGCCAAAGGTCAGGGTGCCCTGGACCCTGGTGGCTCCAGGGTCCGGCATGGCTCAGGCACCCCAGGCTCTGTGGGTAGCCTGTATCGGGACATGGGGGCCCAGGGGGGTAGACCCTCCCTCATTGCCAGGATCCCAGTGGCCAGAATCCTGGGGGACCCGGAGGAAGAATCCTGGAGCCCCTCCCTGACTAACCTGGAGAAGGTGGTGGTCACTGATGTGACCTCAAACTTTTTAACCGTCACCATTAAGGAAAGTAACACGGACCAAGGCTTTTTTAAAGAGAAAAGATGAATTACCGGGTGGGAGAGCCCGGACAAGCAGGCGAGTGGGCGCAGACTTGGCATAGTGCTTTTGATTTCTGAGTGGGATGTGGCCTTCTGGCTGGTCCTGTCCCTGACTTCACACCTCTTCAGCCCCTTTCATTCTTCCTTCCTCCCCCTCAGTTTTGGTTGGAAAATTATCTCTAGAGTTATATTTTCTATTAGATGTAAATATGTTATTTAAGAAAAATATCTAAATATATATATTTCAACTCTTGAAGTTGTTTTATTTAAACAGGAGAAAGAGTGTGGTTTGGTGGGACATACAGGCTGAGTTTGGACTGGAGGGGGTCCCTTACCCCCGACCCCAGGGCTCTAGGGAAGTTGGGGCCTGTGCACCCGGTTTCTGAGGTGCCTGGAGGAACTCAGCCTGCCCACCTCACCCCTCCTCCTTTCTCCACATTCCCAGTGCCAGACTCCTGGCACCAAGGCAGGGCCGGGATTTTTTCTCTTTCCCCATTGGCCAGCCAGACTAACAAAAGGTTGGCTCCCCAATCAGAAAAAGGGGGGTGGGGTCAGTCTGGGTTTTCTTTTTTCTATTTTTTTTTTTTTTTTTTTTTTTAAGATTAAGAAGTCTATTAGGGGGGAAAAAGTATTAACTTGAATAACTTTTTTTGTGTGTGATGTTGAAGGAAGAAAGTCGCGGGTGGGTGGGGAGCAGTTCCCCCCCCCAGGACCACACCAGGAAATGCACTTTATGGGAGGTGTGTGCGCTATACACGCAGATCGTGTGTATGTCTTGTGGATAAACTTTCCCCGTTCCCTCCATTCCTTAACTTACTCCGCAGAGAGAAAAGAAATCCAACGAATCTGTTTACATTCCCGAAATGCCAGGATAAATTGGGAGGATTGCGTGTCCGTGCCCAGAGCTCCAGACGGTTGTTTTACAAGAAAAGTGTTCGGGTGGACTTTTCCTTTGCGCGTCCTCTAGCCTCGCCAGAAGAGACGGTGGCCCCACCTCCCAGGAAGACTTGGACAAGGCTCCCTCCCTCGGGGAGGGCGGGCCCAGCTCTCGGAGGGACGCACGGCCGGGCTGGCCACCCTGCGGGACCCGCGGCGGGAGCGCTGGGAGAGGGCAGCGCACCCAGGCCTTGCCGCGCCGCACTGGGCGGTCCGGGCGTGCCCGGTCGGGGTCGCCCGGGCGTAGGACTGGCGGCCCCGCGCGACCAGGGGAAGGAGGGGCCAGGCGGAGTTTTCGTCCAGGAACGCGCATCAGAACTTTTGCACCCCTCCCCGCCTTCTTAAGAGCAAAAGCTGTAATTTATAGGCCTTTTTGGTTCGCGGAGTGTTCTCTCTGTGAACTCGACATTCAAACTCCGCCAAAGGGGGAGGAGGAGCGAGAGTTGGGAGTGCTGGCGGCCGCGGCGGGGGAGGCGGTGGCGACGCCAGTCCCGCGACACCCCCGCCTAGGCAGACTCCCGACTGCGCTGAGCGCGGAGGGCGCAAAACGTGCGCCCCTTTTTGACTCAAAAGCACAAACTTGACACCCCCTCCCCACCTCCCGCCTCACCTCGGTCCCTTCTAGCACTGATCCTGCAGCCTCTCCGCCCTCCCTGCCCTTAAAGGGCCAGCGAAGCTCTAACTTTCATGCTCGTCGAGGGAGGGCAACGGGGCCTTGAGCGCGGGGCGAAGCACAGATTGGGGCGATGGAGAACTGGGCTGCGGGAGCTTCGCGATGGGGGTGTGTGGAGGGACCCCAGACTCGTCCTCCTCCCGGCCCTGGCCCTCCCTCCCGCTTCTCAGCCTCTCTCCCCTCCAGACTTTCTTGCCTTTAAAGAGGAGAGGAAAAGAGGGAAACGGTGTACTACGTGATTTTGTTTTTGAATATCAAATTGCGCCTAAAGAGAAACTCCCGGAATGGGGATTTTTATCTGTTCACATTTGTAAAACTGGTATTTTAGACTTTGTATAAAGAAGCGCCATTGACCAAGTGTGTTTATTTGAATGTCGACGCTATTTTCAGATAAAACTGCATTGAAGGGGCACGTCGGTTACCGAGTGGACCAAAACTCTGGGGACATGCGTCTTTACCTGGCAGCGCCTTCCCTTCTCCCGTCCTTCCTGGGCCGACTTTGACTTTGGCCTTCCTCTGGCTAGCCTGGTTCTGCCCACCGTCCCCTCGTCCTGTCATCTCCGTCCATCACGGTCGTGTGTGTCTCCTTCGCTCGCTCGTTCTTGAGACGCTGACCCGGGGGGTGGGGTGGGGGTGGGCAGGGGCTGAGGGCCATGGCTGGGAGTCTGCAACCGCGTGGGTTGTACGCGTGTTGGACTTATTTAATTCTCAGATTTGTACAAATCTCGAATCGATTTCCGCCTCAACTCGAGTGAAGCTTCGGTACCTTTCTTCTTTGGTTGTGAATGTCTGTATCCAATACCGCTTTTTACGTGTTTAAATATATACTTTGTAAATAGACACACTTCTTGGTTTTATTATTTTAATTTTTTTTCTCTAAACATGGTGAAGAAGCTGCTGGAAAGGGATGACTTGTGCCTCCTCTCATCCCAGGTCTCACCTTCCTCCCCTTCCGCCTGGGAAGAGACGGAGTCCCCGCCAAAGCCCTTCCCCAACGAGGGCACCCCCACTTAGGGGGGCTGGGCTTGGGAGGGAGCCGGGTATGACTTTCTTCTGCCTCCCCGGGGAGGCTTCTGGCTTTCCTTGCCTACCGATTACACTTCTTTGGGATCAGGGCAGAAGTCGGGGACCTCGGGAGGATGCACGCCACCTTGGGGTTCCCTCTTTCTGGCGGGGCTTCCCCCTTCGCGTCCCACCCCCAGGTCCGACGTCGCTGTTCTCCGAGGCCCAGGTGCTTGGTAGCCTTGCTCCCAGCCTCCCCGGCTTGCTCCCTAATACCGAGGGACCCGTGTCCCTGACCCACCCAGTCTCAACAGCGCTCCCCGAAATGCAGAGCCTCGCGCCTATTGATTGAGGAATTGAATTCGCGGGCATTGCTAGGCAACTGCCTGCTCCGAGCCGGCGCAGAGCGAGCTGATGTGATTAGTGAACACCGAGCCGCTGCGCCGCTGCCGCGCGCCCTCCCAGTCCCCACTGCCTCTCCGCCCCTGGTCTTCTCGGCGGCGGACACCCCAGGGCTGAGCCAGGGACCGTCGAGAGAAAGAAGATTGAAGGGTACTGGTAGGGAGTGTTCCGGTCTTTCTGGGCAGCCGACTGAGCAGGGGGGCGGGGGGGGCGAGGTCGTGAAGCCGGCACCGAGGAGCCACCTCCGGCTCCCCAAAGAGGCCATTGCATTGAACCTAGTTCCCCCTCTAAAGCCCTCCGCAGACGTCGCCCCGCCAAGAAGCCACGAATCCGAACCCGGAGCACCCGCAGAGCCTGAGGGGAGGGCGTGAGCACCGTCTTGTCTTCTGCCACTGGCGGATCCCTCTTCACCTGCCTCCTCCATCTCAGTGACCAGATGGAAGGTCCTAGGGTTCAAGAAGCGCCCTGACGCCAGAGGTCGCTGAGCGTTGAGGGCCCTTCGTGTGTAAGCAGACTGCGCCCAGGGCCCCAGCAGTCCAAAGTCTGCGCCTGGGCTGGGCAGGCTCTGTCCTGGGCTCTGTGGCGGGCGAGGGAAATCAAGGAGCAAAGAGGACGGGTGGGGTGGGCCGCGGCGCCGGCTCTTTCTGGAGTCCTCTGCTAGGGAAAAGCGAAGGCGCCGACCCTACCCTTTCTTTCAGTTCGCGGGCCACCTCCACCCTTAGCTTTGGCAGGGGCTCCTTCGGCGGGCTTGTTTCCCGGGCAGATACTCCCCGGAAAGCAGAGATCAAGTGCGGAGGGTCCCTGACCGTGGTGCCACCTCCGGGTCCCTTGCGTCCCGAGGGCAGAACTAGCTTAGGTAGCCGCTGCCTGAGCCGAGCCTGGTCCCGGACAAACATTGGTTGAATGGAATGTTTGTGGCTCTTCGCCGAGTGTCGGATAGGTCTGTTTTGTGCCTATGAGGATTCCCGCGCAAGGGTTCTGATGGAGACCCAGTGCTGTGCGCAGAAGGGGAGGCGGGAGGCGGATAGAACTGTGCCCATTGGCTTTCCTCTTCTCATCAAAAACTCCTCCACGCCCAGAGACCCATCTGGAGACCGAGATGGGGGTGGCAGAGGATTGAATTCAAGCGGTCCAAGGTAGATGACTGCCTGAAGTCCTGGGCAGACCGTGGCGTGGCGTGTGGCTGTAGACTGGATCCCGGGCTTTCCTTTCAGTCTTCTGAGACCCGGATGGCAGGGGGCCACTCAGGACGGCAGGGTAGAGGGGTGCAATAGGTTTAGGGGCAGCCTGTAGCAACCGGTACTGAGTGATGCCCGCACGTCCAAAGCTTCGGCGGCCCCGAAGTTCATGGGACGCGCGCGCCCTCTAGAGGCAGCAGCTTCAGCCTAGGTCCCAAGAGCCTCCCCTCCCCCCCAGAGAGACCGTCATATTTTCTGGTTCCTGACAGCAGCAGAGTCACCTCCACCCCCACCATAAGCCAAAGGCACCCTGGGGTGCTCGGTACCGAGCCCTCCTTGAGGCCAGCGCCTCGAGCCGCAAGAGTGGAGGAAAGAAAGAAAGATGTCCAGCTGTCCTCCAAGCCCCACTGCCCTAGTCGCACCGGGAGGGCAGTGGGTTAGATGATCAGATTAGCAGGGCTGAAACTTACATAAGCCTGTGTGGTCAAGGCCCCGTACCCGTCTGGCCAAGTCCTGTAGAAATGGGTTCTCACAGGAGAAGCCTGTGTGGCTTCTCCACCTCGCCAGCGCCGGCTCCCTCTCCTGCTCGCACTCCGCCAACTGGCTCCTTCCGGGACGTCCCCAGTCCTTCTATGCAGTTCGAGAATCCAGAGCATAGGACAGCTGGGATCCACCCTGCTCACCTTCTCCAAAATAAACGGCCTCAGGAAGCAACCCAAATAAATGGCATCCAGTGCCGCCTGCCTCTGAGATTCCAGGTGCGCAGGCCTTTCTGGAGCTGGGAGCTGGGGTCCCCCCCCCCCCCCCGGAACTAAAACACTCAGGCTAATTTGCCCAAATTAGCCTTTCAGCCAGGGACATCCAGACTCCAGGCCCAAGTTCTCTTCACTTCAAAGGAAGCTCCATTCTCCCTGGAGAATGAAATTTATGAATAAATTCATGCCGAGGGTAATGCAAACCTTAAAGGAGCAGGGAAGGCTATAGAATAAGCACATCATCTCCTTACATTATGAGCCATGGGGTAGGAGCCACAGTGAGCCGGCTCTCCAGTCTTTTGGCTTCACAGAGACTCTCCAGAACTTCCCAGGGGTGCAGTCCAGTAAGGCACTGGAAGGAGGGGCAGAATTTTGGTTTTACTTTTGATATGCCTCTAGGAGATGTCTCCGTGTGTTGCAGCAATCTTGTCCTCTGCCCACTTGGATGCCTGTAGCATCCCTTCTCCCCTCTGCTCCATCATTATTTTATTAGTGTTTTCTGTCTTTCCTATTAAATCAGGGTTTCTCAAAAAGCACCAGTGACATCCTGGGAAAGCTCATTTTTGTCATGGATAACTGTCAAATGCATTGCAGGGTATTTTTGAAGCATTCCTGGTCTCTACCCACTAGATGCCAGTAGAACCCAACCTATGTGATAACCCTCTCCATTCACTGCCAAGTGTCCCCTGAAATTGCCCTTGGTCGTGGACTGCTGGTGTAGAGTCTCACTTAAAAATCAAACACCATTCCTTGCTTCCTCAAACATTTTTTATTTTTGTGCCTTATGAAAACAAATTAAGTCTAATTCCAGCGATTAGGAAGGCTGAGACAGGAGGATTGAAAAGTTCAAGGCCAGTCTCAGCAATTTAGCAAGACCCTTTCTCAAAAAAGGAAAAAAAAAGAAAGAAAGAAAAAGGTCGGAGGTGCAGCTCAGTGGTAAAGTGCATCTGAGTTCAATCCCCAGTACCAAAAATAAACAAGCAAATTAATATTTTTGAAAACACTTAAGCCTTTTCCATGCACCAACTATTCAGTCTGTACCCAGGTGAATATTTTGCCCCAAGACAGGGAAAGCAGTCTGTTTTGTTTCCAGACATCACTCATTATGTACCAGGCTAAAAAGTTTAAAAAAATATTTATTGATATACTAAGGGTTAACAAAAAGACAAGGATCTTCTGGCACCATTTATTAAAGTCCTTCTCCTGCAAAATAAATTAATGTCAGACTAAAGCCCCCTGCCATCTATGCTAGGGTTAGTTTTCCAATAAAGTACTAGAAAACTCTATAGAACTTTGAGACGGACTTGGGTAAAAATCTGGTTGTCCCTGGACTCAGACCTGCTCAGACCCCTTCCCCACACCACTTCCTTGTCCCATTGGAAGAGGGGCCAGGCTGCTGTCCTGTTTCAACACAGAGCTGTCAAGTCAGGGTGACGACACACTCATTCTGCTCCTTCTCCTTAAGAAAGCAGACACAGCTATAGATTAAGCAGTTGCAAGAAGTATACAGGATTTGGCTTTTTTTTTTTTTTATTAAAAGACAAATCAAGGGCTGGGGATATAGCTTAGTTGGTAGAGAGTGCTTGCCTTGCATGCACAAGGCCCTGGGTTCAATCCCCAGCACCACAAAAAACAAAACAAAAAACCAAATCAAGCCATTGCTTGACATTGGTTAGAGCTCCGGTTCTCCCCACAAGCTTTCCTCTGATGAAGCCTCAAGTCCAGAGCTTAGTGGGGTCAGAATTTGGAGTGTAACTAAAGCAAAGAGCACATTTTTTGTGTGTACCAAAAATACATATAAAAATATGCCAAAGTCTCTAAGAGGACAAGCTGGCCCCTTCCCACCCAATACAGAAGCATCAAAAAGACAAGGGCTAAAACATCCACTCAGTACACACCGTGGTACAGTTCACCTGGGACCCTTAGGAATAAAGCAACAACGGATCTTAAGTCAGATGTGTGACCAATACCTAGCTCTACACACACACACACAGCAGCAAATGAAAATATAAAAAGAACTACTTTTATTTATTGGTAAACATAAATGACCAGCTTGGAGCTTCTGGTGCACCTCTCCAGCTGGGACTCTTGCACCCGCACACACGCTCTTTAACGTAAAACACTGGGGTCACAACACGCAACACAGCAAGAAGGCAGAGTGGCTGGGAAGGTGTTTGCAGATTTAAGCTTTGGGATTGAAGTAGCTGGTAAAAAGAAAGGCACCAAATTGGGGTCTGGAGAGACTTGGCAACTGGGGACAAGGCTGGTCAGCCCAGACACCCAGGGACAAACACCCCTACTTTGCTAACAGCTAGTGGGACTCTAGGTTCCTCTCAAGAGCTTAGAGGAACCTCTAAGGCAGTACAGTGCCTGGCAGAAAAGAAGCTGCAAAGCTTGAGTCAGCCAAGGAGCCCGCAGGGTGGGCTCCATCCCTGCTGCAGGCAGCACTTCCTGCCAGTTGGACCTGGATGACCCTCAGTGCAGTGATGGACATGTTCTGTCCCCAAAGGCACACTGTTGAGGTCAATCTGGCTACACAAAGGCCATCTCTTCCTATTTGGTGTGGGGGTGAGGATCTGGGGGTCCTGAAGCCTGGTAAGCCCCTAGGCAGGCTGGCTTGAGGAAGGACAGCTCCTCTCTGCAAGGTGGCTGGAGCCAAGAGGTCCTCTGCAGGCTGGTGACAGTTCCAGACCTCCCCCAGACTTCTTTTTGGCATCACAAAATCACATCAATCAGATTGCCTACCACAGCCACCTCCTGCCCACCTTTCTGCTGACATCCCAGCATGGACCAGAAACCTAGCAAGGCGGCTCTGAGACTCAGCACTGAGGTGGGACAGGGAGAAGGCCCTCGGGTGGGTTCAGAAATCTTGTTTCTTGGAGGGGACGGAACAGGCCCTCCGCTAGGCAGGCTGCTCAGACTTTGTCCCACATCCACAATGGCACTGGGAGATTGCTTCTCAAGTGGGAAGCAGAATATGGAACCCCCAAAGGTGTGTCTGTGTGTGTGGGGATTGTCAGGGAAAGTGGCACCTGAGGAGTGGCCTATCCACTGGGTCAGGGCCATGGACTTGGGGCAAACATTTGCACTCCCCATTGTCCTGTGGCTGGCAGCCAGTCCATGGGCCACCGGACTAGGCTGGTGAATCCAGCTGCCTGCTAAGGGCGCCCCCTGCATAAAGCCTGTTGGCCCAACTCTTATTCTCAGCTTCCTGGCCTGTCTGTCCCCTCCCCCAGGCCAGAGGCTCCAACCCTGGGAACTCGGGTGTACTCTAGAGGACCTGGACCCTTGCTGGACTCCAGAGCCAACTCGGGCTGGAGATGTTACTCAGAATCAGGGTCAGAGGGTGCTAAATCCAACATCTTTGGGGTTCCTGACCTTGCTTTCTGACCCTGTCCTTGCAGTTCCTGGGGCAGGGTCTCGGCCTTGTCCTTAAAGGCTCAGGCTCAGCTCTGGCTGGGGTTCCTGCCCACAGGCCCCTTCTCTGCCCTATTTGATCTTCTGAAGGCTGGTGCCGGGCCTAAGGATGCCCAGGCCCCCACCCCACTCTACTTTGCCCACCCCTGTGGGGGAACAGTGAGCTGTGCCAGAAGCCCCCCCTGATCCCTTCCCTGGGAACAAGGCAGGTCTGAGTGCTGTCATTTCAGGCTAGGAAGGGGCACCCAAACTCATGTGGAGACCTGCAGTGAGCAGGCAGGGGCTTGAGCCCCAGGGCCACTTGGACTTCCTGAGGCGATGGGGGCGAGGGAGGCCTGAAGAGGTAGGAACACAGGGAAGCCAGGCCCCAGCAAGGCGAGGAGGCAGCCCTAAGCCCCAGGGCAGGGTCTGGAGGGAGGTCTTCAAGCCGGTGGTGCAGGAGACCCCTGCAGACCTCCCCTTAGCTGTGGGGTGGCAGGCCGCACTTCACCAAAGGCAAAGAGGGAGAAGGGGTCAGACCTGGGTGAGTGGGAGCTCTGGGTAAGGGCGGCCCAGGGCCTCAGTAATGTCTCAGGTTGAAGAAGCCCACGCTGGTGGGGGACTCCTTCACCGTGACAGTGATGAGGTTGGCTGTGACGTCAGTGACAAACACATGCTCGATGAGGCTGCGGGTAGGTTTCCAGTCCTGGCTGGTCTGGACGGACACTGACAGACTCTGCCCAGCACCTGGCACCGAGGCCGAGTCAGGGTCCGAGTCTGAGCTGCTGTTCTCCTCACCAGTGCTCATCTCCGACAGCATGGTGGCCTTGCGGACTTCTCCGGGGGCTGCGTGGCTGTCCTGCCCACCGGGGGCAGAGCTGTTCTTGATGTTCTCCCTCTTGCCTGAAGGGGTGGGTAGTGCTGCTGCTCTGGAGGCCAGCTTCTCCCCTTTGCCCGCCTCAGTGGGCATGCCGGCTGCACTCACAGCACCGGGGCCACCCCCAGTGCCCTTCCCTGTGCCTGGGTTGGGTGCAGGGATGGCCTTGGTGGCTGTGGCATGGCGGGCCAGCAGGCCCACTCCAGGGATGCCATTCTTGACACTCTGTAAGTCCAACACCTGCAAGCTCAGCTCCTGGGTGGGTGCCAGCTGGGAGCCTGGGCACCCGGCGGGGACCTTGCTGCTGCCATGGGTGTGGGGTCCTCCCCCTGCGCTGCTCCCTTTCTGCTCCCCAGCTCCACTGCTGGGGGCCTTTGGGACTTTGCTTCCTGGGGGGCTCATCCCCAGCTCCCCTTTCTGCGTCCTCATCTTTAGGTCCAGCCCCAGGCCGCACTTGCTGGAGGCCTGGGTCTTGAGTGCCAGTCTGCTGGCCGCCTGGGCCTGGCTCTGGCCCACGCGGTTCATGTAGTGCACAATGGAGCTCTGCCAGCTGATGGCGCCACGGCTGGGGCTGCCCGTCACACCCTTCATCAGGCTGGCCAGGTTCTCCGGGGTGGCCATGGTGCTGGGGCCGCCACAGGTCTCTTTGGCATGGGCCTTTAGGGCCGCTAGGCCGGCCACAGGGGCGCTGAGTGGAGGGGGCAGCTTGCTGGCTGGGGCCCCCAGCTCCTTTCGGGCAGTCTTCAGCACCTTGGCCAGGCTCACAGGCCGCCGGGCCGCCTTCTGCTCCGGGGGCAGGGGTTTGCGCCCCCGCTTCTTGCGGATGGGATCCTTGAGCTCGGGCTTGGCCACCAGGATCTGGGCCTTCTTCTGAGGCACCGGGTGGGTCTCACGGCCTCGGGGACCCCTTTTGGCATCTAAGTCACTGTCGTCATCTTCATCTGAGGAAGACGAAGATGACGTGGAGGAAGAGGAGGAACTGCTGGACTTGGATTTGGAGGGTGCATCGGGTTCCTGGGAAGACAAGAGGAGGGAGTCATTTCTCTGCTGCCTGGTCCCAGGGTCAGAGCACCAGGCTTCCTCAAGGGACGTCAGCATCTGCAGCCAGCAACTCTGTGGCTTCCCAGACCAAGGAGAAGTGACCACTCACCATGTGGTCCCCAAAAGATGTAACAGGCCTTACATGAAATGTAAAATTAAAGGCAGAGTAGGAAAAAAACAAAAAAACAAAACAGGTTGCTTGTAAAATTAACTCAGAGAAACGAGGATACAGCACAGAACTTCCCACACACCACTGGCTTTTAAGGGATACAAGTTTTGCTCTAGATATATGGCAGACAAGTCAAAAAGGGCATTGTACCCAGAATGGCACAAGCCACGGTGTTAGAGGGCTGAGCCTTAGAGCCCAAGGGCTTCGATCAGGACCAAGCAGATTCCTGCTCCAATCGCCCTATTTCCAAATCTGACCCCTCAGAGCATTCTAGTGCACAGGTCAACACCCCCCCCTCCTCTTCTGAATGTCATCCCAAATGCCAAAGTATGTCCCCGTTTCTTAGGTCCCCTGCTGCCTGCTGGGCAGAATCTTCTAAGGTGGTTAGGGAGATGGTTTTCCTGCTCTTGTTTCCTTACAGTGAAGCTCTCCTGATCTGAACAGGAACTGAACCTGTCAGACCTGGAGGGTCCCTCTCCTCACTCCAAAGAAAGCCTTTTACAGTCCATAGGCTTCGGTAGCCTGCACTGTCCTGCTGGAGAGGAAGATTTGAAAGACAAATGAACCTCACCCAGGGAGACCAGTCAGCAAGATTCCAAGTAGGGATCCACAGTCCCCTGGAAGTGGTACTGGAAGTGACCGAGCTCTTGGCCAGGGCATGCCAGGTCCACAGCAGTTCATTGAGAAGACAATCAAAGACACATCCAGACCAAGGCCGGACTCCCCTCCCGTCTCGCCTCTGGTTTGTTGGGAGTGGAGGGGTGATGTCAGGGACTCTGGTGCACGCATGCCTGTGGTGTGGGAAGCCCACCTTGCTGTGGTCATCATGGCATGGAGGGGAGGATTGACAGGACATTCCCAAGAACATACCAGCACAGCATGGCCCCCTGCCCCCCTGCTGGCTCCTGGGCCTTCAGCCAGCCATGTGTTTCCTGGCTACCTTGATTTAAGGTGTACTCAGGTATGGAATGGCCCAATATCTTGGGCCTGACTAATTACCCTGTTGGTCCATATCTACGTGGTAAACCTCTGAGCACCTACCATCTGTACGCTTCCCATTCTTTTCTGGTTCTTGATGATAAGCCCCTGGGAGCAACAGGGAATCACAGGCAGTGGCCAAGTTTGACCCTGCTACCCAGAAAAAATGTATAGAAGCCCAGAGAAACAGGGTCAGGAGGCTTGGCCCTGCAGGACACCAACAGGGTGGAAGGAGAGGCAGGACTCTGTGACTTGCTAGTGCCCCTACTCAGAGGCTTGGAGGCAGCACACACGGGGATTCTGCCTTCTGAGCAGAGGAGAACTTCTGCAGAAGTAACGTCCCCACCCAAGAGCCCTAAAACCTTTCCTCTGCCCAAAGAGGTCTTAGAAGGTGAAGAGTCAAGTAGGGTCAGCAGGTAAGCGCACACTCACCTTGAGCTTGGAGCGACGGCTGCAGGACGACGTGACCGTGTGCTTCCTGGGCCTACCCCTGGGCCTCTTCCCCCTCTTTCGGTTCTGTATCTCTTTCTCGTGTTCCCTGAAGACACACACTGATCAGCGTGGAAAGGCATTGCTCACAACCTCCCCTAACACACAGGAGCCCCACGGCTTCTAACACCTCGCTGGCCCCTGAGGTTCTCTGCTGCTCTGGTCTGTGGCAGCTTGTTGACTATTTTGCTGCAAAACTGCACTGTGTCCATGAAAGCGAGGACAGGCACAACTCTGGTTTACGCCTACAAACTTTCTGCAGGTGGAATGTCTTGCAAAAATCCAGCTTGGCTAACGGGAAGCAGCTTTGGGGGCATGTGGTGCAAACTCTCATTTTAATAGAAGAAAGACTAAGGCAAGGAGAATGCAAAAAATGCCCCCACCATCAAAGTCCTCCCTCTGCCTGAGAATGTTCCCTAGGGTCAGTTTGCTGGCCAGGCTCTCCTGAGTTCTCCTCTCTAGCCACTTGCTCTTGACAGAAGTAATGCTCATTGGTGAAGCAGTAGCGAGGGCTCAAAGCCTACACCTCCTGCAGCCCTCCTGCCTCAGGGGTCAGGAAGCACTCCCAAGAGCATGGCCACCAGCCCCCGCCGAAGCTCATACTTCAGGCCACCCCACAGGAAGGGGCCTGACCTGGAGAAGATTCCAGTAGTTAAACAAACAGGGCTGGGGCCGGGGCTGAGCGGTAGAGCGCTTGCCTAGCCTGTGTGAGGCCCTGGGTTTGATCCTCAGCACCACATAAAAATAAAGATAGATATTATGTAAAAAATAAAATAGATAATGGGCCTGGAAGGTGACCCCCTACAGAATCTGATTAGCACTCCCAGGCAAGGCCCACCTTCCTGGTTTTATTTCTTCCACGATGTGATCCTAGTCATCCACGGTTTAAAAACTCTCGAAACTCTCAGATATTTTGGCTCTTGTCTGTTTAACCAAAAGCTAGGTCGAGGACATGTGCTGCTCAACAGTTGGAATGCTGTCTGCTGTCTTTGTGGTGCTGGGATCAAACATGCCAGGCAAGCTCTCTACCACAGAGGGACACTCAGTCCTAGGACACCGTCATTTTTTTTTTACCTGGGCTGGTCTTAAATTCCTGGGTTCAAGTGATCCTCCTGTCTCTGCCTTCAGAGTGGTGAGACTACAGAAGGATGCCACAGCACCTCACCCAAGGTGGCCACCTCAAAGGCAAAAAAATGAACTAAGGTCCTGCAATGTGTCAAGCTGACCTCCTTGAGGTTCATAGGACCAAGTTATGAACTAAATAGAAGGTAATGAGATCGCTGATACCAGATTTTCCAAAGCAAGCACCTGCATCTACTTTCTCTCGCCATGCGAAAACCTATCTGCTACATTGTGACGTGAACACAGCTTGGATGACTTGAGAATTAGCCTGTCAGAGTGACCCCCGCTGGGAGGCTTTGAGCACCAAATCATCTGCCTCTGAACACAGGAAGCTCCTATAAGGGGGAAGCCATCCGGCTGCCACCCACCATTTGCTACCACATGGTATTCACACCTGGATGAGTGGGCACACCATTGCCTTCCCTCACCACCCTTCCTCTAGAACACCTCATGGAGGCCTGTCTCTTAACCTAGGTCTCCTACCTATAGGTGGAAATGACATCTAGAATTACATAAGCAAATTCAGCCCCAGCCTGCAGACCCCCGCCGCGAGTTCTACCTCAGTACTGTTTGGCAGGTCAGAGCAAAGTTAATGTATTGCTCTGGACACAACAGGTGAAACTGTGTTGTGGCGTCAGCTCACTGTCTGAGCCTTCTTCTGCCCAGTGGACACTCCTGTAGGGGCAAGAGGACAGGCCTGCAGTTTTGCAGCAAACCTGTGGCCCTGGTTCTTATTAGTGCAGTCTACAAATTACAAAAAGGTCAAATGAAAGCAGAACCTTTGCATGAAAGAACAGAGGAGGTGTGCTGTTGCCAGTCTGTCCACCAGAGACCAAAGCAGCACTTACTAGGGACTCCTCAGATAGGGAGAGTGCTGGCTGGGGACCTTGGGAGCTTTGCTTTTACACACAGCCAAGGAGATGGCACAAGAGACCTGGGGACTGTCTTGCTATGAGACCTAAAATCAGCCCAGCCCAAGCCCTCTAGGAGGCCACTGGCCCCAACTCTCCCCTCCTCCTGTACAGTTACTGGTCTCACTTCTTCTGGAAGGCCAGGAGCAGCCGTGGGTCCAGGATGTTCTCCTCTGGCTCCCAGCTGTTATGTCTGGAAAAGCAAAGAGTAGGTTGGTGTCAGAGACACAGCCCTGCCTGGGTCACCACTGCTCCCCTAGCACAACTGGACGCAAGGACACCTTGGCTCAGTGGCCCTTAAAAGGCCCAACCCAGATGCTGGAGGTCCTTGAGGCCAGTGCCCTAACCTCAAATCCACAGAGAAACTGCCACTTCAAGCCCTCAATTAAAAAGGCCACAGGAGGACTCCAAGTCTGCGCCTGGGAGGAAAACAAATCCCCCCCTCCAAAACCGCAAAGTTGCAGAAAGGGAATCCCCCAAACCCTGGCCCGGAGCCAGGGAGGGAAGGGAAGGCAGGTCCAGGTCGCAGGGAGGGGGAGACTGAGGGGCACAGACAGCCCAGACGGAACAATGTGGCTGGCGCCCCAGCCAGCGGGGGCCAAGCACCGGAGTTGGAGCAAAGAAAGGGTAGTCAGGGTAAAAAGGGGTGCGGAGCAGCTGCGGAGGCAGCTTCAGGGGACTTTAAGTCCCCTCCCTTCCATTAAAGGAAAGAAAGGGGGAGGGGGGAGTCCTACATCCATCAATAGGAAGCTCAGGTTACAGCGGGGGAAAATATGGATAGGAGGAGGGGGGCTCGCGTCCCGCGCCTGCCCCGCCAGGCCAGGAAGCGGTGAGCCGGGCGGGGGTGAAAGCAACAAATGGGCCCCGGGGAGCGCGCAGCGCAGCGGTGGAGGGCCGCAGGGGGCTACGGGGAGGGAAGCCGCCAGCTCCGGTCCCCGCGGGCTCGTAAACAAAGGGCGGCCCCAGGCCCGGCTGGCGCCCCCACCCGCGGAACGCTCGGGGACCCCGCGAACTTCCCGCCTCGCTCGTGAACGCCTCGCTCCCTAGACGGCGCGACCTAGGGTCCCCAGGCCGCCCCCACCCCCGGCGAGGTGGCGAGCGCGGGAAGGCGGGCCCGCATCGTGGGACTCACTTGGAGGACCAGCCGCGCCACTTGACCAGGTACTCCAGCTTGCCCTGCGGGGAGAGAAGAGCGGGCGGTGAGCCGGACGCCAGGGCGGGCCAGGCGGCGGCGGGCGGGGTTGCACGCACCTTGCGGAGCCGCTTGCTCAGGATGCACTCGGCGGCGAAGACCTGCTCGCCCACGCTGCTCAGCTCCTCCATGCCGCCGCCCGCCCGCGGCCCCGCGCCCAGCGCCCCGCGCCCGCCGCTGCACACAAAGCACCGCCCCCGCCCGCGCCCCGCCCCGCGCACGCGCGCCGAGCCGCCCGCCGCCCCGCGCGCAGCCCAATCGCGCCCGGCCAATGGGCGCGCGGGGCGGGGCGCGCATTGTTCGTGGCGGGCTGGGCCTGGACCCCGACTGGGGTCCGCACGGCAGCGGGCGGGAGTGTTGTTCGCTGTCGGGGGCGCGGCTGGGGCTGGGGAGCGGAGTGGGAGCGCGGGTCGGCGGGCGGGCCGGGCCCGCGCAGAAGGAGGGCGCGTGTGGCGGCCGCGGACCTGCAGCTCGCCGCAAGTGCCACTTGGCCCGGAGCGCGGCGGCCTTCCTCCCAACTTCGTTTTCCCGGCAAAAAGCTATTGTTTTGCCAGAAGGGAGGGAAACGGGAGGGCGCGCGGCGCTTCCTGCCCCCGCCGTAGAGGGGCGCTGCTTCGACGCCCCCGCCTTGAACTGGGTCTATGGTTCTGGTGGGACAGTCCTATTTTGCAAGGGAACAAAACGGGCCAGGAGTGGGGAAGGGATGGAAAATAGGTACGGGCAGCGGGGGTGGGGCTCTAGGACAAAAACAGCGTCCCAGACTTCCCCCAACCCCAAAGGCAAGAGAAGAAAATGCATGAATAACTAAAAATGCCAACCACTTGAGAAAGAAATTATACGAATTTAGTTCTTAATAAACTGCAGTGACAGCGAGACCCAGACGCCAAGTTTCAGGTTACCTGTGGGGAGAAAAGCAACTACTGTTCTTAGTTCGTTTGATTTTGGTTACAGGAACTTGGGACGGTTTGCAGATATATGCCCAATTTAGGACTCAGATCATTCAAGGGCTTTCAGGGTCGGCTGTCAGCAGCCTCCGGATCAGTCGCCAAACGGAAAGGACCCCAGATTGTCATAGGAGAGCGCCCAGGTCCTCCCTGGCCACCGTGGGCAGGCGACCCTACACTTTTATTCTGCCCAAGATTCTTTCTGCTCAGCAACTCACCCTTAGTATTTGCGTTTTGAGCCAGAAGGAAGATATACATTAGCCTTAACTTTGGGTTTAATTCTAAATCCATGAAAATTCATTTTCTGGTTCTGTTTTCTCCCTACAGTGCAGTTGCAAAGCTCCCCCTCTTTTGAGCAAATCCCAAAGCCATTTCTCGTAGGAACCTGCTCAATGTAATTGTGGTTACCACCATATTTATGAAGGGTTCTGGAGGAGAACTGTATTTTTAGTTTTAGCAGAAAGACCTACTGTAGAAGAGGAACTTTGTGAATGCTCCCTCCCCCAATTTATGGGACCTTTTCCTGTTTATTTGATTAAATGGCTACGTATATTTGATATGGTGGAGAGAACTTGCAAAGGCAGATACCATTTGCAAAGGGACAGGAAAAGAAAATTTTTCTTGAGGCCAGTGACTGCTCACTTAGGGGGGCTGTGAACGAAAACCCTGGTAGGAGATAAAAGGAGCGTGGGTGGAGGGAGCTGCATGCCATCTCTCTGCCAGCCCTTTCTGTTCCTGCCCTGTGCAGCTAGGCAGTAAATTGCCATCCAGGGCAAAGGTGGGTTTATTGTAATCCCAAGAGTAGTTGGATCCGTTTCAATCGATGTTTTCTTGCAGAATTCATCTTGGGTGTAAGGTTTTGCCCTGAACGTTTTCAGTTTCTTTGTTGATACACAGAATGCTGAGGTACTTGCTTTGATTTTGTTTCTAAGAACAAAAAGCTTTAAAGGGGGGAATTTTTTCTTGCACTAAAAATTAAGTTAGTTTAGAATCTGACACTAAGGCATTGGGAAAAAAAAAAAAAATCCCTGGAAGGCTCAATATATCCTCTACCCACTGCAGATGCCCAATGGGGAAAAACAACATTTAGGTTATTTATGTAGAGAAACATGACAAATTTGATTAGAATGAAGCCATCAGATAAATATGGTGAGGGTGTGATCCAGAGTGGGTGAAGTTTTCTATGTGGTAGTGGGCAGAAAAGGAGTGACCCCAGTCAGTCCCCATGTGCCAGATTGTGGGTTGTGCTGAAACAGATTCTCTTTTCTGTTTGACTCGTTTGAAGAATTAATAGGACAAGCCTGGTGCAGTGGTATACTCCTGTAATCCCAGTGACTTGGAGGCTGAGGCAGGAGGACTGCAAGTTTGAGGCCAGCCTAGGCAACTTGGCAAGATCCTGTCTCAAAATTGGAGGAAAAAGAAAAAAAGAACAAGTTAGAACTAATTATTTAAAATTCATTCAACAAACAGTTACTTGTATTTACTGTCATGTAGGGACTGTTAGATATGGGAGAAAGTCTACAGCAGCTCTGCCTAGCAGAACTTGCACAAATGCTCCAGTATGGTGGCCATTGACCACCTGTGACTAATGAGCACTCAGAATGTGCCTAATATTACTGAGGAATTTAATTTTACATTTTATTTAATTATAAACAATTTAAATGCCACTTGAGGGGCTGGGGATGTGGCTCAAGCGGTAGCACGCTCGCCTGGCATGAGCAGGGTGCTGGGTTCGATCCTCAGCGCCACATAAAAATAAAATAAAGATGTTGTGTCCGCTGAGAACTAAAAAATAAATATTGAAAAATTCTCTCTCTCTAAAAAAAATAAATGCCACTTGAGGCTGGTGGTCACTGTACTGGACACCAATGCAGGTCTATAATAATCCAAGGGATATATTGTAAAGATATTTTTCATGAAAGTTGTAAGGTTCCTTAAATTTTTTTTTAATATTTATTTTTTAGTTTTCGGCGGACACAACATCTTTGTTTGTATGTGGTGCTGAGGATCGAACCCGGGCCGCACGCTTGCCAGGCGAGCGCGCTACCACTTGAGCCACATCCCCAGCCCAGGTTCCTTAAATTATTCCTGGGGTAGGATAGTTTATGTACTATCCTACACATTTATGCTTAACTGCCTGTAAGAATGTTTAAAACATATACCAAGCATTATTAAAGTACCGGCAGGAAGGGATGCATCTCGGGTGTTCTGTTTAGTAACACTTTCTATGCAAGCGACACGAGAGGATAAGTATTTTCATGATGCACTTGACTATCGAAAATCAGAGATACTGAGGTGGGGAAGGACATGCTGGTGTCCTTCTGAAGTCAGCAGAAAAGTCAGGATTGAGATCAACCCAGTGACCCTGGCTTTCGTTAAAACTAGATTACGGCTTATCACTGTGGAACATGCCTGTAATCCCAGTGACTTGGGAAGCTGAGGCAGGAGGATCACAAGTTTAAGACTAGCTTCAGCATTTTAGGGAGACGATGAGTCAGCTAGATCCTGTCTCTAAAAAAGGACCCAGAATGTGGCTTGGTAGGAAAGCACAGTAGCAGGAAAGTAGCAGGAAAGACCCAGCTGGATGACATAGGTATGTCTGTAGCAGTTCCATGAGCACCTAGCTTATCTAAAAGTACTGTCTCCTCACTGCAATCCAAGAATATCGGCCTCAAGCAGTCACCAGACTCCTCTCAACAGGTCTGCATGGGATGAACTCAGAATCGCACAATACTTAATATTTAATGGAACAATCGGGCTTCCTCCCCTCCCGCCAGCTTCCCTCCACCTTTGCAAACAAAGGTGTAACTTACAGGCCACTGGGTCATGTTGTGCCACCGCTGTGTATGTGGTGGATGAATGTTACATATCAGAACTCAAGTTCTGGAGCTTTCAGGTGGTCAAGCACCCCTGGGCCTGCCATGAAAATATTGACCCCAGAGCTCCACCTTGAGTTCCTGGCCAGGGACGGTCTGCATCTCTCACTGTTCAAGACACTTCTTATAAAGGGCGGCCTTCCCAAGCCTTCACCTTACAGCTGAGGAAAAGGAATCCAGGACGGCTCCTAGTACGGGCTGTGGAGCCCAGCTCTGCCTTTTCCCACCTGCCTGGTGGGGCACTCAGGCCACTCCAGCTGGCATGCAGGCTGTCCAAGGTCAGACACGGTAGAAGCAGCAGGTGACTCCTGGTGCTGTTCCCCTGGGCTGCCTAGTCCATTGCATCACCCCAAAGAGTTGCCCAGACCAGAGCCCTCCTCCCTCAGGGGGAGGTTAAGGTACGCAGACAGGAGGTGGGAAATAATTGTTGCTTTGATTGATGTTGCTTTGGACACAGACTGCAGCCCCTTACAGGAGGTCTCCAGTGCATGAGTGTTTTATTTCAAACGGTGTCATTTATTCATTTTGCAATCACATCAGTCCTGGGTTCCAGTTTCTTGCAATTAAAATAGTGTCAAAGTGGACCTCTTTTCAGGGCATTTCCAAAGAGCTAGTGTGTCTCCAGAACAGCATGTGACGCTGTGCCCCAGGATTTGCACTCACAGGTTAGGTGCCGCAGGTGCATCTGTCCTCGATTTCAGCAGCCCCGGCAGTGGTGAGTGGATCCCGGGGACTTCAGAACACACTTGCTGGTTAGCTGGTTTCAGTGGTATCCTAACACGAGCTAACTGTGGCACTTACACACCCTCCCCTGCTCTTTCCCAGGACCTCTGCAGAGGTGTCGTGGTGTAAAATGGTCTAGTGAGAGCAGTTTTCCAGTGTGAACTGCATTATTTTCACAATTAGCACTTACGAAGGTCTCAAATCCAGGGTGAAGCCCTTACTTAAGAGCAAATAATTACTTTAGAGATCTGCAGTGCTGCCCCGATATACGATTCATGAGTCTGCTAATTGATCTTCCTCCATGCCGGAGGTGATCTCAAGCATCCTCTGTAAATCCTTTGGACACCGTCAGCCATCCAGGGGTTTTGAGAGTGATGGATGAGAGACCCGCAGCACACACCCTCTCCCCTCTCCACAGCATGCTCTGCTTCCCCCTTTCATCAGCTGGGCCACTTCTCTTCTGAAAGAACCCAAGCTCAGAACCGTCGTTCAGGTCACACACACAAAAAGAGACTATCAATCCCGCGGCTTGTTGATGGAGAGTATGAGGGTATGCACAAAGAATTCCCATCAAAACAAGACTTCCTGCTTCTGGTTGGCA